GGAAGTATTAATAATGGAATCAATGGATTGGCCTCCCAACCAACGATCCTACCAAAAGAAAGTATTATCACCACCAAGGTCCCAACAGATAGAAGGCTCAATCGCCCATTTCACTTTGCAAAGATGGTGCCAAAATTTAGAATTACCTTTATTAAAACAACACATGGTGGGGTGCTTCCCCCCACAATACTTAACATTCATAAATTTATCCCAAAGGCTCATGTTAGCACGAAAATTATACCATGAATTAAAAGAAAGAAAATATGCCAAATCCTTCAACGACTTACAACTCAGAGCCCCTTCATAAAAAGTGCCACAACATTTATTCCAAGAGGACCAATGGATTTTAGAACTGCTACTAGCCTCTTTCCAAAAAACCTTATTGAAGATTTTTTCAATCCTGTTACACATAGCATGAGTAGGAATCAAAGTTTGAAAACTATAAACATGAATAAAACAAAGAACACTTTTAATAAGAGTTAACCTACCACCAAAGCTAAGAAAGTTAGAATTCCATAAAGAAAGTCTATTTTGCACAACAAAAATTAAATCATAAAAAAGAAATGACTTCTTTCTACCCTTATAAAGAGGAACACCAAGGTACTTTAAAGGCAAACAAACATGATTGAAACTAGTTAAATTCTTAATAGCCATAATGTGAAAAGGAACTTTTTTAGCAGAAATAAAGCCATATTTATGTTTATTAAGCGTTAGGCCACTCAACAATTCAAATTGTTTAAAAAACCTCAATAATATATGAATCCTATTTAAAGAGGTATTAGTAAAAATATTAAAATCATCCACAAAACATAAATGAAAAATTTGAAAAACACCTAAAGTTTTAAAGTAAAGGCTAGGAAACTTCTTAAAGAGATCAGTAAGCCCTCTAAAAAGGTATTCAGTCGCAATAATGAAAAGAGATGGAGATATGGGATCACCCTGTCTTAGGCCATAAGAAGCCTTAAAGAAACCGTTAGTCTTTCCATTAACAATGATAGAAAATTATCGTAAATCTACTCAGAAAATGGGGATTCTCGGTTCATGATTTCAGTTCTATGGAGGATGGTTTATTTGGCCTTCAATCTTATGCAGATACCAATCCTTTTATTGGAAATCTATACTGCGCTGCTATTTTCTTCTACTGAATGAGTAGAAATAAAATTTTTCATGGAAGTAAAGAAGACAGTCTATAAGTTATTGCTGCTAATGACTTAGGTATGTCATATGCTACTCATATTCTTAATCAAAATTCGGGCAACTGGGATTCCAATCATATTTTTAAGCTGTCATATTATTCTTGGTGTCCCCCTCCTCCCGAATGGATTAAGCTTAACATTGATGCTTCTTTGGGAAGAAACTATAATGCTGGAGTGGGAGGAGTCGTTAGAGATCATAAGGGCAGATTTTTATGTGCCTTTGGACTAAATTGTATGCATTGGGATTCAGCACAAGTGGAGCTCTTATCTATTTTATCATTCAAATACTTCATCAAAGATTAGATGTTTGATTCGAAAGGCAGCATTGTAGAGGGAGACAACAAGAATGTGATCAACCTTATACATAGGATATTCAACAAGGAGCCCGTTAAGGAAAAGTTTGTTAAGCTTGAAGATTTTTCTTTTCTCTTTGATTTTAATCAAGTTTTGTTTACCTTTACAAAGAGAAATTGTAATAAGTTAGCGAACTTTTGTGCTAACTATGCTAGTTCTTTAGATTTTTTTTGGGAAGATTTAGGTGATAATAAGATTCCTCCTATTTTTATTTCTATGTTAAAGGAGGAATGTGGTTGTTATTCAATCACTTAGTTTTTGTATCTTTCTCTATTGAATAAATTGCTATATGCATTTCTTCAACAAAAAAAAAAAAAAAACAATGATAGAAAAATAAGGGCTCTCAATACAAAGTTTGATGAGATTGATAAAATTTAAATCGAAACCAAATAACTTCATAATGTCATAAAAATAATTCCAATCAATATTATCATAAGCCTTAGCAATATCAAGTTTTAAAATCATATTACCACCTCTAAATTTAACATCCAAATCATGACAAAATTCTTGAGCCAAAAGGATATTATCAGCAATAGCACGACCTTTGATAAAACCCATTTGAAATGAGGAAATCAGTTTAGGAGAAAACAATTGTTGAAGGATTCATCAAAATTTTAGATATCACTTTATAATAAAAGGTACAAAGACTAATAGGTCTAAAATCATTCCAAGAAGTGATCAAATTATTACGAATAAGCATAATAGATATAGCAGTAAAATAATTAGGTATAGAATTACCATCAAAGAAATCAAAAACAGCAGAAAAGAGATCATTACCAATGATATGCCAAGTTTTCTAGAAAAACTTGGTCGTGAAACTATTAGGCCCAGCCATCGACTCAGAATTCATACCAAAAATAGTATCTTTAACTTCCTCCAATGAAGGGGGATTAGACAAGAAAATATTATCATCATGAAAAATAAGAGAATGAATAATATTAGGATTATCAATAAAGGAATGGTTAAAGTTTTTATTCAAATGATTTTGAAAGTGTTGAGCAGCTAAGTTAGCAATTTGAGCACCATCCTCAATAACAGAACCATCAACCTGATTAATTTTGAGAATACAATTAATAGTGTGTTTCATCTTAACCAAGGAATGAAAATATTTTGTATTACTGTCACCTTCAATAAGATGTTTAACAGCTAATTTTTGTTTTCAAAACATTTTCTCCTGAGCTTGTAATTTATAAAGCCCATCTTTAGCTTCTCTCAATAAACAAAAGTTAGTTTCAGAAGGAAATAATTGGCATTGAGTCTTCTGACAATTCACCTTATCTTCCTCAATTAAAATGTTAGAAAAAAGATTCTTAAAAACATTATGATTCCACCAATTAAGAACAAACTTAAGTCTTTTTAGCTTATACACAGTATATGCATACCAGAAATAATATTATCCATATGTAAAGGAGCAAGCCAATTATCATTCATCGCATTCATAAATGAATCATGAAGTAACCACATATTTGAAATCTAAATTGAGAAGGAAAATCTCTCAATCTAGGCTTGATTTAATAAGAAGAGGAGAATGGTCAGAGAGGGTCCTGCTATAATGATCAACATTAGTAGAATAAAAAAAATTCAACCAATAGTCATTAAATAAAACCAGTAGGTTATGTCTACTGCCTACTTAGTTGTGATGGCCTATTGGATCCCAATGCTTATTGTCCCTCAATTTTGCTGCTTCTTTCTTATGCTTATACATTTATGGAACTAGAATTGAGCGGCATTGGGATTTTAATCATGATGGTTACAACAGGATTATCTTCTTGAGCATGTTAACCCTAATTTTATTGTTGGCTTGATCACCATTTATTTGGTTTGGTTATTAGTACTAGGAGCTAGAGTTGTTCATGTATTGGCTTTTCCTTTGTTTATAGGATTTGTCATTGGTGTTGTTTCCTTGCCAATTCTATCTTATTTGGCTGGGTGGCCCTAAACATGGATTACCTCGGGTTAACAGATAATTTATGCATTCTTATCATTTGGTATTATGACATTGTGACCACTTCTGGTGATGGGTGTATCTCTATATCCTTTTTTGTTAAACTTTTTTGGGTACATTATCTTATCTATTATTTATCCTTTATGTTACATCCATTATTTGCTTTGGTTGGTTTTCTTTTGTTATTGCTGGTTCTTGTAGGTTCAAGGGAAGGTTAAGCTAGTGGATGCTTTGTTTAAATTTTGGAAAAAGAATGAGCTTAGCATTTATTTTTTTTGTCTCTCTTTTTTGGGTGTTGTCCTCTTGCAGCCTTAGAATGTTACTAGGTGATTTTGTAATTTATAGCATAGGGGACCATTAGCTCTTAGGATTTTTTGGGATATTTTTGTTGTTCTTTTTAGCATTAGTGAGCTGAATGTCCTCTTTAAGGAACTTGTAATCTTTTATTTTAATTAACGCGTAGGCTCCTTTGTGGGTTTCCGAAAAAAACGACATTATGTTGTCCTGCATTTATTAGTCCAAAATATTTTATTTTCATTGGCATCAAATCATCATGCAAGTTGTCACTATGTGAAAAAAAACTTTAAAAGTCAAAAAGTTTTTTAAGTGGATGAATTATGCACTTTGATTAAACAATAGATGTTTAATTGAAATTAAGCAGAATACTTCCATGTGGGATGGACACTTTTTCCTATTACTTTATTACTTGATTCGACATATATACTTGCATAATTAGTGGGCTTTTATAAATATTATATAAGGAAATCTAAGCATATTTTCACATCAATTCAAACCATTTCATGCAAATGTCCCATCACAATTTTGACATTATTGTTGTGAAATTAACATGCATATTATAATCTTAACTATATTGCTAAAATTAGTATATATTTAAACATACTTATACGTTGTATCTTTATTTTTTCTCTATTCAATAAAATTTTAAAAAAGCTAAATAAAGTATTTTGTGATTTTTATTTTTAGTTATTTCATTATTTTTGCTACTTTATATATATATATATATATATATATATATATATTAAGAAGCCCTTACTATTTGGCCTAGAAATAGAAAGGACCATTAAAAAAATTAAAAAAAAAGATTTTAGAGATGTCTATTGCCATAAAAGATCAGAACCATTCTAAAGCTCTTAGAGACTATGCTAACCCTGTCAAAGAAGGAATCCATCAGAGTATTAATAGATTTATAATCCAGGCTAATAACTTTGAATTGAAACCTACCATAATTTAGATGGTTCAAAATATCCAATTTTGGGAAACTCCTATTGAATATTCTAACTTACACTTAACTAGTTTCTTGGAAATATGTGTAACATTTAAGTATAATAATGTTAGTGATGATGCTATTAAACTTATCTTGTTACCATTTTTAAAGCTATAATGCTAAGATGTGGTTGAATTCTTTACCCCCAAACTCTATAACTACTTGGAAAGAATTGGCACATAAATATCTAGCTAATTATTTCCCACCTATAAAAACTGTCAAACTTAGAAATGATATCACATCTTTTTCCCAATTTGAGGGAGAATCAATTTATGGAAGTTGTGTGAGATTTAAGAAAATACTTAGAAAATGTCCTCATCATGCTTTAATAGATTGGTTAGTTATTCAAATTTTTTATAATAGATTGGTAGGATCTATTAGGTCAATCATAGATGTAGTAGATAGAGATCCTTCAATGTTTAAATCTTTTGATGAAGCATATAAATTAATAGAAAAATGGGTACAAATAATTTTTAGGGGACTTATGATAAGGTAAATCCTAAGAGAGTAGTTAGTTTGTATGAATCAAATGCTTTATCTATTTTAACAGTAGAGGTAGCTATAATTTAAAATAAATTGGATACCATTAGAGTTAATTTAGGATCAGGATCATTTATATAATTGGAAGAGCATAAAGAAATTCTATTGATGATAGTAGTGATCTAGATATTAAAAATATGAATTTGATTGGAAGGAAAAATTATCCTGATACATACAATCCAGATTAGAGGAATCACCATAATTTTATTGGTTAAATAATATTTATGATAATAATTAGTGAATATATGTCAATCAAGTAAAGGAGAATATTGTAATAATTCATAGAAAACTGTAAGAAATCCTAGACCTCTATATCCCTTTATTTTAAACAAAATAATAAAAATAAGAGAGAAAAATCACATTTGGAAGATGTTTTGATTCATTTAGGAACTCATTTACAAAGTGAAGTTGTTGCTTCAATTACAAATTTATAAAGTCAATTAGGACAGCTCGCAATTTGTTTCAATATAGAGCCCTTGGATCATCACCTAGTAATATGGAAGTTAGCCTTAAGGAGAAAGAGAATGATCATAGTGGAAATCAATTGAGAAGTAGTAGTGAAAGAGAAGGATCATTGTTGAAATCAATTGAGAAGTGGTAGTGATGCACCCCTCCAAAATGATATATCTAGGTAAGTTTAGATCATGACTATAAATTTAATGTTGTATTGGGATGCAACCTAAATCAATTATATATTTTTATCTTTTATTGTGTTCTGTAATTTATGTTTTTTCTGATATGTTTTTTAATTATTGAAATGTGAATATGGTATATTATTTGTAAAACTTATTATTCTTCATTTTGACAATGTTATGAAAATTTTTTAGAGAAAATTTTATTGTGCTAAAATTGAATGTGCTAATGATGTAAACACTTAGTAAGTACTAATGTAGACTCTTATGCTTTAAATTATTTCATGGATGTTTTTAATATCTCCCATTTTTTATTTAATACATACAATGGTCATGTATGTAGTTAATAGATATTATGATATATAGTATCAATAGTGGAATATTGGAATAGAATATTAGCATACCTAGACATATGATGTTAAATTTTCTAGGTTCTATGGAGATTATATAATTATAGGAAGGCCATAAACCTCCCTTTTCTTTTTTACAAACTTGATAGAGATCTAGGGATGTATATATTCTAATATAGATATAGAATAAAGAGTCATTAGGAAAACTATACTGGCTCGTATTCATTACTACAAAATATTAAATATTCACTAGCATCAAATTTTCCTGCAAGTCTCCATTACATGGAAAAAACTTAAATAAACATCTATTTTTATTTTTAGTAAGATAAAATGTGTATTTAGATTAAAAAGTATTAGTTTAATTGTAATTAAGCATACCACTTTCTCATGGGACCGATACTCTTCTCTATCACTTTATTACTAGATTTAGTACGTATACTTACGTATTTAGTGGGCTTTCATAAATTTTATGTCAAAGAAAATGTAAGCATATTTCGACGTTAAGTCAAAGAAAGCCACAAAAAAGTCCCATCAATGTCAAATCTAATGAGGCCATTTTCTTAAGCTACTATTCAACTAAAAAATCATTCAATATTTTTAATGAAATAAATTTTGTCAATGAAGATTCTACTCATATCACATTTAATGAAACATGTTTTCATTATCCAATTAGATAGATAATCAAGAAATTCATAGTATAGAAAATGCTGAGAGTTTAAAGTTAAAAATAAAACATGTTGTTAATACTCCTAATCAATGGATATACACAACAAGCCATTTGAATGAATTAGAAAATCCCTTTCTTAATTAGTATTATAACGTGTAATGCAACTAGGAATGAATTGAATCATGCATCATTCAATAAGTGGACAGTCGTGCTCTAATAGTGAAGATGACACACCAAGAGGGAGGTGAATTGATGATCTAAAAAGAATTCTTCAAAATTGTTTTTTGAATATAAACCAAAATTTGATTTTATGCATAAGTGTTCAAATAAATAAAATGACACAACTCAAGCAAGTACTAATTTTTGTGTTTTATGTTTTTTGTAGAAAAATTATATATATATATATATATTTCTTTTAAAGAAAATATGAACCGCAATCAATCACAATAATTTTGATATCACGAGTTCAAACATAATGAAATAAGAGTGCTAAAATTTAGATTGCAGGAAAATAAAAGCATTGAAAGTAAATGTGTAAAGTAAAGAACATAAAATAATTTCATAATAGTTTGGTCAACTTGACCAACATCCACTCCCCAAGGGTCCTCCTCCTTGGGTATGGCACTACATTATGACTCTATTTCAGCGCACAGCTAGGTGGAGAAGCCCTTTCTCTTACCACAGGTGGAGAATACACCTTTATAGAATCTTCACATACCCTAAGAGACTCTCCATTCACCTCCTTGGTTTAACAGAGTCACTGAGTCATCATTTCAACTTCTTGATTCGACAGAGTCACCGATGATCTTTGGCCTTCAAAATATTTCTTTCACATAACTTATCTGGAAAGAAACACCAACTTACCTCAGGTGCCGGTTATCCAGAGCAACCATGTGAAAACCCCTCTCACACTCACTTTACTACCTCAAGGATATTCTCCCCCTCATAGAACCTCATCCACTCTCTCTCTCTCTCTTTGCTAAAATATATCTCTCACAAAAGAAAGATAAACCTTTAACTACACAAAAACTCTTCTAAAGTTATGATAAGAATTTTTTTAGAGGGCTTCTAAAAACCTTATTTTTTAATTCTACCGCTTTTATTCAAACAATATATTATGAGTATCATACGATATGATTAGTTCATTACTAGCAAACTTCATGATTTATGATTATAAATCATCCAGCTTGATTAGTTTAAACTAAATATTATATCATGTAGAATGAACCAAAGTATCTTTAGAGAGTTGTTAGGTGATGCATATAGTATATTTTGTAATTAATACATATTTTTATTTTTATTCCTTAATCCTCGGAATCCATCTAAATACAAACAAAGAGAAAGCAAAAGGGAGACTAGCTCAATCAGAAACAAACCATGAAGGAGATAGAGGAAAACTATGCCCAGCAGTCAACCATCACGTCCAAAGCAAAAGTGTCATCCAAATCTGAAGTCCACAGATCCAAAAATTAGGCACCACAATAGCAACCTGAACAAAATGAAAGACCCACACAACCCAACACCCCAAGGCACCAAAGCAACAAGAAATAGCTATTTTTTAGATTTCCTCTTTCTTTGTTTACCCACCTGAACGGTAGTACCTTGCATACCATCTTCCTATCCAAACATTTCCTCTTCATCAACCTCAGAAGGAGAAGATGATGAGCCTTCAAGCCAATCAATTTATGCCCTAAAAATTTCCCCCGATATGACACCCACATGAGCATTCAAGGAATTAACAAAAAGTAAAGCAACAAGAACATCAACAAGCTGTTCAGTAAATCCCAATCCTACATAGGAGAATGCACAACTAGACCAGTAGGTATCATAAGAGAAGCAATAGAAGGATCGACCTCACTAGAATCAATGCTCACCACCCCCATATTAATATCATAAAGTTCATTACCACCAACGTTCATCAACTTATTACCAAAAGCACCTTGGGAAATGTTAAAGTCATTTGAAGAAGGGTTAACAACCACAACACCAAGAGGGAAAATCTTATCAAAAATCAAAGCTACACCATCATAGGCATCAACATCAGAAAGAGGATTGACAATAGGATATTCTTCGAAATTGACAAATCAATTGATAGGCTCAGAAACCTCATCCACACCCTCATTAATACCACAAGAAAGAGCCATCGGTATTCCTTCACAAAGAGTAGCATCCTCAGTGTTGACATTGCTCATTTCCATAGCTAATGCAGCATTCATACCAATCACCCCATTACCCACAACCTCAATATGACTAACAGGAGCTGCAGTGGGAATAAAATTTTCCACATAACCACCAACAACCACAACAATAACCTTCTCACTAGAATTACGATTAATAATCGAATCAATCACCAAATTTGAAGAACAATAACCACCGGGAAAGTGACCAATCGATTTGCATTGCACACAAAAATGGGGAAATTCCTCCATGACAACATGCTGAACACAACCAAGCTTTTCAGGAAGAATATTTTTTTGTAATGTCAAGCTCAACTAACACATACGCCACAGAGGGATGGAAGCTAGAAGAGGTCGCATGATCCACCATAAGGGGACGGCCAAATAAAGAACCCAATCCATGAAGAATACGGGGCAAACAAAAATGTGGTTGCAAATGGGAAATGAAATCCAGATTGCTATGACAGGAGACTCCACACTAATATAAAGAAGAGGAGACTATTTGGTCAACTTCATGTAACAATTGCTAACAAAATAAGATCTATGAGAAAATCCTCTACTATAATTGAGGTCATTCACCAACTTATTAAGTACATGACTTTGGGCCAACAATGTTATAAAAAATTCACCATTGAGCTTATGAGCAAATAAAAACTTTTGAATAATGTTGAGACTTGGATGCCTCAAGGGAAAGAAACCAACCAAAGCAAACATCAAAGGAGCCGTAAGGGCAAGCACCTCATCATTCGAAATCTAAAGTGATGACAAACCACAAAACATTGATGGATTGAGATCAGGAAAACCAGCCTCGAAAGAAATACTAGACAAAGCATCAGCAAACGAGCGAGATTTAGTCAATCCCCCCCCCCAGAAAACCAAGATTAACCCAAGGTTTATAGT